TGCTGCCACCTGCAGGTGAGAGGTGGAACTGGAATGTTCAGAACAGCAAAGTGTGAAAACTTAAGGCAATGTTACATTTTCTTTACTTTTATGTGCACTCTGTCAGCCTGCACCTGTGATTTCTATCTGTGGAACTCCGCCCCTTAACCTGTAGTGTTTTTAAGTATTTTGAGAACTCATTAAATGGCTAGTGCCATGCCACTCCACATTTTACCAAAGTCACCCTTTCTTACAGGAATCTGGACACACAGGATACATCCAGAGTCCCATGATTAGCAGGTGGCAGAAGTGGGGGGGGGGAGGTTTGAACCTAAGCACTGCTCTGAGATGTGTTCTAAATTTTTACTTTTTCATTTTTGTATGCATGCGTGTACCACCTGTGTGCAATGTCTGTGGGGACCAGAATGGGGCATCAGATTACCTAGTACTGGACTTACAGACTGTTGTGAGGCACCAGCCCATTGGTGCTGGGAACTGAACTTGGGTCCTCGAATGTGTGGCTGCACATGCTACAGCATGTAAGGAGGTCAGAGGACAACTCATGGAAGTTCTCTCTTTCCACCATGTGGGTTCTAGAGATCAAACTCAGGGCTCAGCAGCAACTGCCAACACTCAATGACCCTTTATCAGAATCTCTCTCTCTCTCTCTCTCTCTCTCTCTCTCTCTCTCTCTCTGTGTGTGTGTGTGTGTGTGTGTGTGTGTGTGTGTGTGTGTGGTGTTTGCACTTGGATTTGTCTTTGAAATACTATCTCGCTGTATAACCTAGACCTGCAATTCTCTATGTAGATAATGTTGGCCTCAAACTCACAATTGCACCTCCCAGCCCTGACTGCTAGGATTAAAGGAGTGCGCCCGGTACCTGGCCTGTGTCCGATCTTTAGCATATTTAAATTCATAGAAAAATCAAACAGAAGGTGGAGATTTTTGTCCCCAGCCTCGAGCAACACTGCCCCTCATAGAATGTTTTCATCTTTTCTTCTGCCTCTCTACACTTGACATAGGATGTTCCCTAAAACACAGAGACAAGCCAGGCAAGTCCACAGTTGTCGGTCCCAGAGACACGCTCCTAAAATGATGATAAAAGGATCAAAAGGCATACACACAGAGAAAACGGGAGGGACATTGCTCACCAAGGTACTTCTTGAAAGATAAGACCAATGGTCTTGATGAGTGGTAAAACCCCAAGCCTTGTCGAAGGAACTGCTGAGTAATAAGCCAGCTGGGACTGATGAACCTCAGGAAGACTCCTGGGGTGAGATGGGGACCAAAACTCAGTAATTCAAGGAACATATGTGTTATATCAGAAGCCAAAGACGTACTATTCTGTTTTGTGTTTGCTCATTTTCTTTTTCTCTTTAATTTGTAAAGAAGTTCATTTGGTTCAGCCTTCTGGGGGTTTTGTGCCTGCTTGTCCTTGAGATGGGGGTCTCACTATTTGACCCACACTGGCCTTAAACTTATCCTGCTTTAGGGTCTTGAGTGCTTGGCTTTTAATACATCACACAATGGCCCATTAATAATGAATTTTCAATGATTTCTTTTAAGAATTTATTAAGTATTTCTCTCTCTCTCTCTCTCTCTCTCTCTCTCTGTGTGTGTGTGTGTGTGTGTGAATGCAGGTGGCCAAAGAGGCCAGAAGAGGGAGTCCTGTCCCCTAGCACTAGACTTACAGGCAGTTGTGAGTTGCCTGGAGTGGATGTTTGGACCCAAATCCCAGTTTTCTACAAGGGCAGTGAGCATTGTTAACTACCAAGCCATCTCTCCAACCCCAATTTTGCTTTTAACTCTGTCCACTCTTACCAATAAATTTGGGGTCCTGGGTGGAATGTGTGTGTGCTGTAACACAAGCTGAAGCAGCAGTGCTAAGTGGCAAGGCACCACAAGGCTTCAGGAAGAAGGGCCCCAAAGAGGAACTTCCTCCAGGTCCCCAGAACAAGGATGAAAACAACACAGAACGCCCCCAAGAGAAACTGGAGAGGAAAGAGTCCCAGATCTCAAGGGAATGCGAAGGCAGCTCGGTTACATTCTGTTGTTGTTGTTTTGTTTTTTTCTAAGACAGGGTGTCATGTAGCCCAGGCTTAGCTTTGACCTTGCTATGCAGCTGAAGCTGATCTTGAACTCCTGATCTTCCTGCCTTTGCCCCCTCAGTGCTGGAATTATATGCACTTTTCCTCTTTATTTTCTTTCAGGCAAGATCTTTCCATGTAGCTCAGGGTGGCCTTGAGCTTGGAATTCCTACTGTCTGAGCACCTGGCCTCAGTCTCTGGGTGCTTTGGTACCTGAGCATTAAACTACAAAGTCAGTGTGTCTCTTCATAGCAATGGGATTAAGAGCCAACTGAAGCCAGGTTGAAGATACACACGCCTGTAGCTCCACCAGGGAGGCTGGTTCGGAAAGGATGGAGGTTGCACACTTCTCTCCTTCTCTGTCTCTGTCTCTCTCTCCTCTCTCTCTTCTCTATCTCTCTCCCCTCCCCCTCTCTCTCCAGACAAACAGCTGGGAATATCTAGGGTGCTTACGTAGTACACTTGAGGCCCTAGGTTTATTTCTCTGCTGTCATCCACCGGGCATGGTGACATCCACCTGCCATCCCATCCCCTGGGGAGGTGGGAGCAGGAAGGCCCACCTCCAAGGTCATTCTTACTTTCACACTGAGTTTCAGGCCAGCCTGTGCTACATGAGAGATCCTGGCTTTAAAAAAAAAAGAGCCAACTAATTAACCAACAATGAGATACCAACAAAGGCCTTCAAGTTAGCCAAAAACAACATGGAAATGAAGTTGAGTATATATGAACTCCCAGTGTTTCAAGAGTTTGTGAACTGGAGCTAACAGATTATTGGTGGGAAAAACAAAACTGGAAAGGCTCTGTGGAGAAAAGTTGGGCAGTTTCTTATAAACTTATAAACACATTGTTAAATGAACTCTTAGGAAGGGCATCCAAGAGTGTCAAGCGCTATCGCCTTGCCTGCAAGAACGACGCTCAACAACAGGATTCTTCTGCAGCTATGTTTATTGCGCGGCTCATTACAGCAAGTTGAGGGAAGACCCCCAAGGAGGAAAAAGGGCTCTGCTTATATATGCTCAGAGGAGTCCTGTCCGTTACTGACAGGTGCAGCCCCATGACGTGGATCGCGCATCTGCGCCTTGCTGGCTTATGGACAGGAAACCGGTGCCATCTTCGGGAATGGCACCGGTGGCTCTCTACACAAGAGAAATGAAAACATGTGCCCACTTAAAAGTCTATAGTGAATCTTTTTGAGTGGCTTTACAAAAATCACTGAAAACAAACCAAATTCTACTACCCAGTAAATGGATGCACAACTACACTATATTCAGTTTGGAGATATTTGTTGCCAATAAAAATGGAAAGAAAGTCCATCATAGGTGGATGTACTAGTTAGTTTTGCTTAGTTTTTAATAATAGAAGTATCATATTTAGATTTGCACTTTTATTTGTGGGTACACAGATGCATGCAGGTGCCCACAGGGGATAGAAGAGGGCTTGCATCCTTTCAAGCTGGAGTTACCAGGTTGTGAGCCACCATGCTGAGGCTAGGAACCAAACCCAGTCCTCTGCAAGACCAAGGCTGAGTCATCTCTCCAGCCCCTAGGTGGCCATGTTAAATAACCTACATACTAATGTTTTGGGCAAAATATGGAACTATGATGGGAAAAAAAAAAGCCTAACATAAATGGTCAACAGTGTCCCTAAGGCTTGCAAAATGTTTGAGCATGTGCAATCCACATTTTGACTTGTTTGTTTGTTTGTTTTTCAAGACAGAGAGCCTGCCCTGGAACTAGCTCTGGAACTAGCTCTTGTAGACCAGGCTGGTCTCAAACTCCCAGAGATGCTCCTCCCTCCCCCCCAAGTGCTGGGATTAAAGGCATGTGCCACCACCACCAAGCCACATTTTGATTTTTAAAAGCCTCCAATGTCAAAAAAATTACATTGGGTTCATCAGGTATTGCAACTGGATAAGAGGACTTTGAAGATTTTTCACAGAATGGTTGAAAGCATGGGGCTTTAGACTTGAGGAGGAGTTGGAGAAATGACTCAGCCGTTAAGAGTACTAGCTGCTCCTCCAGAGTTCAATTCCCAGCACCCAGACGGAGGCTCACAACTGTCTATGACTGTAGTCTCCTGAGATCTGGTGCCCTCTTCTGGTGTGCATGCATATAGACAAAACAGATAAATACATAAAGTATATAAATGAATAAACCTTTCGAACAAAGAAAGACTTGAAGAAAACCTCCCAAATCATATAATCATAAAGGCAGGAATGGAGGTTGGACGCGGTGACACATGCCTGTCATTGGAGACCAAGGCAGAACTGTTGTGAGTTTGAGGTCAGTCTGGACTACATAGTGAGATCCTGTCTGAAACAAAAAAACTAAGGGTTCTTTTGTTCTCTCATCATAAATACTCGGGTAGAAGTCATTTGGCGACATCCTGCGGTATATCTAAAAGCAAAGACGGCAAAGCCAGTGTCCTAGGGTAGGGATTTCAAGGATGGTGGATATGTGACTGAACGCCATATTCCTTCAAAGGACCCAAGTCGCTTCTAAATTTCCCTCCGTCTATCGACTGCGGGTCTTTTATTGGAAATATTCACTTATAGGTTCTGTCCTAGACTTGACTGACTCTAAATATCATGAGGTTGTATCTGGGAATCTACGATTTTGAAACCGCCACGCAGATCGCACAACAGAGCTCACACCTTCAGGCTCTCTCAGGGACCCTTCGAAAGAGCAGCCTCCCAGGGCCCTGGCCCCGCCCACAGCCCCGCTCGAGCCCGCCTCCTTCAGTCCCCGCCCCTGCAGGCGAGGTGTAGTCTCCGCCCATACCCCCGCCCCTTTCGAACGTTCTGCCCTTGAGCCTATCCCCACTGGCTTGGCTCTAGGCTCCACCTCCTCCCGCAGACTAGCGCGGCCTCGTGAGCCCTTTCCCGTGATACCTTGCGCTTGGCTGTGACTGTTGCCCGGCAACTGACAGGCCTGGGACCCGGGCGCGGGATGCTATGCTCGGCCATGGGGCCGCGCGGCTTCCCGTCTCTTCTGCTGGTGTTCCTGAGCTGCTGCGCTTCAGCAAGCACCCAGGCCGTGGCCACCCCGGTCGTGGCCACCCCGGGCACGACGAAGGAGGACCTCAACTCCACCGAGGCCATCCCAGCCACTCTCAGGCCCTCCGGGTCGCCTAGGACCCCGGGGACTCCCAGGGCTCCGGAGCTCCCTGGCCCCAGGCCCACCCCGGTCACGGACGGTGGGTACAAAGTGTTAACTCCCTGGAGCGAGTAGAAGACTAGTGAGAACATACGAAAACTGATAGCCGCTCAAAGTCCCATCCTTGTCAAGCTCCCTGCCAGAACCCTGAGAGGGAGACGGGCTCACAAATGCAGAAAGCGGGGCCTAACTTGGGACACGCTCAGATCTTGGAAAACTTCAGTAGTCCTGGGCAGCGTTAATTCCAAAGTTTGTAATGAATACATCTGCTCAGCTGAAGTGTAGCTCACTTAGAATGAATAGGGAAGGCCCTTCTCTGTTGATTTCAGCTTGCCTCCTGAGTTGAATTGGAGTTGGTAAAGTGTAAGGTGAGGGCTTAGACCGGATATTAGGATTTGTGTTTATGGATAATGAATGCATCTCAGGAACTGGTCTTACTTATAAAACAAAGTACTACATTTACTTTTTTTATGTGTTGGGGCACAAAACACACAGCATGTGGAGGTCAGAGGGCAGCTTGAATTTTGCTCCTCCCAAACCAAGTGGGTACTATGCCTGTTGGCAAGTGCCTTTATCTGTACAATATTACCATCCCAGAAACTGGCCTTTTAATCTTGCAGCTATACATTTAGTGACTATTTTATAAACTGACTTACACTTGTGACTTCAGGGCTCTGTGACCCTTTGAGTTTGTGAAATTTTACCACCGAATTTTTCTAGGGTGAGGGTTTGTAGGTTTTCAGTGAAGCTATGATTTCAGAAAAGGAATTTTAGACAGTTTTGTTTGGATCGAGAGTAACAGTGTGTATGTGTGTGTGATTTTTATTATTGTTTGATAGGAAAGAAGCTCTTTCACCCAGTAAGGCTGGGAGTATAGATAACTGAAAAGAGCCGTCTTTGACTGGTACCCTGAACTCCTCAAGTTCATTTCAGATCATTCTTCTTGGAGGCCTCCTTTGAAAACTATGAGGAGTTTGTGAGGAAAAAAAGTGTGCAGGCTGGTGGGTGGTATGGTTCAGTGGTTAGGTGCTCACTTAGCACACGAGGCTCTTGATTCAGTGGCTAGCACCAAAGTGGGAAACAAATGAGGACTACATTTCACACTTTGACATACAAACCAGACTGTCTGCTTCATATTTAACTTACTGACTTGTGAGTTAGCAGAGAAGTCAAATCACTATATGTGGGGACAATATAGTTAATTATTCGTGTCTGAAACTCTATAAGATTTTTTGGGGGGGAGGTTATTTATTTATTTATTTTTGAGACAGGGTCTCTCTGTGTAGCTCTAGCTATCCTGGAACTCGCTTGGTAGAGCAGGCCTTGAATTCAGAATTCCACCTGCCTCTGCCTCCCAAGTGCTGGTATTAAATTTAGGCGTGCACGACCACCACCTGGCTTCTCTACAATTTGCGAACTGGGTTATCGTTAATTCAGGTAGGTATACTCATTAGTGATTTTTCTCCCCAAAATGAAGTTGTATTTGAGCTGACGTGACTAGGGCTCATATTCAGGGCTGGCTTTCCAGTGACAAATGTGCACTTCATCTTCACCGAGTAGCAATTCGATTATTAACTGTCTTCTGTGCTGCAGGCACCCTGCCAAGTATTTCACTGTGCTATAACCCACTTAACCCTCACAACAACCCCATGAAGTGTCTAATCCGCATCTAGTTACTTACAAGGACCTGAAGCGTTGGCATCAAACCCTGGCTACAGTTTTAGACATTCGAGGCAGTGGGCCTGATCACTCACTTTATTTTCCCACCCCAGTTCAGGAATTTCGGTATCATTTTCTTAGTCTGAAAGACAAATGTGCTCCCTCTAGACAGGCTTTTCTCTAGCCAAGGACATGTATGTTCTCTAAAATGTTATTTTTCCTTTGGGGGGATGTTATTTTCATGTTCTGGCATTATTTTGTTCTTTTAAGATTTATTCATTTTTATCTTATGTGGATGGATGTTTTGCCTGCATGTCCATCTGTGCACTGTCAGTGTGCCTGGTGCCTGCAGAGGCCAGAAGAGGGCATCAGATCCCCGGGAATCGGGGTTATAGACGGTCATGTGCTGTCATGCTGGTTCTAGGAACCAAAGTTAGATCCAGTGCAAGAGTAGCCAGTTATCTTAACTGCCCAGCCCTCTTCAGACTCTGATACTTCTTTCAAAGCGTTTTCTCTGTTTGACAGAATGGCAATGACATTAGTAATAAACTGGAACGTGGTAATCAAATGCTCAGTGCTCTGAGCTCTGGGAGACTGTTGGAAGAGGCTCTCTTGTGCAGTGTGGAGGTCTCTGTCTGTTAATGGGCTAACAATGGGCACTGCAGAGTCCTGACGGACACAGTGGAAACAGTCAGAGTTGCTGTGGGGGTGGGAAGAGGGGCTCCTGCTCTTCCTCCATACTGTATTTTCCTGCCATAAATTTATTACCCTATATTGTAAATTTTTTAAATTAAAAAAAGAACATTTTGGCAGGGTTATGGTGGCACATGCCTTTAATCCCAGGCATTGTTTAAAAGGTAGATCTCTGAGTTTGAGGCTAACCACCTGGTCTGCAGAGTGAGTTCCAGGACAGCCAGGGCTACACAGAGAAACCCTGTCTCAAAAAAAAAAAAAAAAAGACATTTTAAGCCACAACAATAGGAACATTTGATTATTGGTCAGGATCTTATGACTAGGAGTTCAGTTTCAAAGCAACTGGCCGAAAAAGCCTTTAATCCCAATAGTTAATCTCCAAGTTCAAGGCCAGCCTGGTCTACAGAGTGAATTCCAAGACAGGCAAGGTGGAGAAACCCTGTCTCAGAAAAAATTAAAAATAAGCAACCAGAGCATGCGAGGAAAGGGATGAGGTTCCCAGCACTTCTTCCTTGGGATCTACTCTGATGTAGGAGCGCAGGCATCTGCAGCCACCTCAGGGAGACACTGATGGAGGATACTTAAAGTGACTTTCCTGCAAGCACAGTAGGAACCTGGCATTTATAACATTGATTAGTGGCAGGGAACGGTAACAGCTCACTCACTGGGGCCCTCTGAACCCATCTGTCTTTACCTCGTAGTTGCTGCTCTGTGTGTCTGTGACCTGCTTCCAGCACAGTGTGACATCAACTGCTGTTGTGACCCCGACTGCAGCCCCACGGATTTCAGTGTCTTCTCTGCCTGCTCAGTCCCAGTTGTCACGTAAGCATACCACAGGGAGTTTTAATGGCAGTTTGGCCAGGACAATAAAATGTGGACACAGAAAGCGTGTTCTTCACTATTCTGGAGCCCTACTGTGCAAAGCCCTGTGTTGTCAGAAGCAGTCGCTTGTCTGCAGGCAACCCCAAAATAGTGTGGGCAGTGGAAGGGCATGCGTGTGACCTCTAGGGCAGCAGTTCTCAACCTGTGGGTCATGACCTTTGGAGGTTGAATATTGGATATCTTGTAAGTCAGATATTTGCATTACCATCATAACAAGAGGAAAATTATAGTTAGGAAGTAGCAACGAAGTAAACTTATGGTTGGGGGCCCCCACAGCATGAGGAACTGTATTAAAGGGTCATGGCATCAGGAAGGTTGAGAACCTCTGCCTCCTGAGAGCTGGGATTAAAGGTGTTCAACACTACCGACCAGCTGCTACCTTTTAATTTTTTTAATCATGTGTATGCATGTGTGTCATAGGTAGGGTGGGGGAGGGTATGCCTGCTAAGTTGCCTGCTAAGGCCAGAAGAGGGTGTTGGATCCCCTGGACCTGGAGTCATAGATTGCATGTGAGTAGCCCATCATGGGCCCTGGGAATCAAAGTTGGATCTTCTTTGAGAAGTGCACACTTTTAACTAACTGATGAGTCATTGCTCTGGCCCACTTAAATTATTGAGACAGGGTCTGTTTATGGAGCCCTCCCTGTCCTGGAACTCATTATGTGGTCCAACCTGGCATTGAACTCAGAGATTGCCTGCCTCTGCCTTTTTAATACTGGGATTAAAGCCATGTATCATAACACCACCAGCCCCTGTACAACTTTTAAAAATTACACTTTATTTACTTTGTGTATGTATGTATGCTCACACTATAGTGCTTATGTGGAAGTCAGAGGACAACTTTAGGGAGTCGGTTTTCTTCTATCATGTGGGTCTCCGGGATCAAACTCATATCATTGGACTTGGCAGCAGGTGCCTTTACCCAGTGAGCCATCTTGCTGGTCCCCAAATATGGTAATTCTAGACATAAACTATAGTTTTTAGAACAGAGGATGGCAAGCTTTGTAAAGGACCAGCTAGGAAACATGTTAGTCTTCATGAGTCACATGGGTGTCTGTCGCAGCTGAGCAAAAGCAGCAACTGATGTGTGGATGAGCAGGCCGGCCTGGGTTTTATAAAGCTTTATAAAAATAGACCTCATTTGTAGGCTTGAGAGTTTGTTGTGGAGTATTAGTTTAAGGCGTGTTACATTCATTTATGCTATGGAATATTTGTTTAATGATGCAAAGATGTGTTGCATTATGTTGCATTTGTTTAACTCTAAATCTGTGTTACTTTGCCTGTCTAAAACATCTGATTGGTTTAATAAAGAGTTGAATGGCCAATAGCTAGGCAGCGGATGGGGATAGGCTGGGCTGCCAGGCAGAGAGAATAAATAGAAGAGAAAGGGAAAAGGAGAGGAGAATGCCAGGGGCCACCAAGTAAGAAGGGAAGAAAGATATATAGAATAAAGAAAGGTAAAAGCCCAGAGACAAAAGGTAGATGGGATAATTTAAGTTAAGAAAAGCTGTCTAGAAACAAGTCAAGCTAAGACCAGGTATTCATAAGAAAGAATAAGCCTCCATGTATTTATTGGGAGCTGGGTGGTGGGCCCACCAAAAGAGTTTTTAAAAACAAAACAAAACAAACAAAGAAACAAAAACAAAACAAAGAAAAAACAGCTATAGAGGTTAGGCTAAATATCTCAGGAAAAGACTTAGGTTTTTAAAAACTCAGTTTTGTTTGTGATATGCCCCACAAAAACTTATGAACTAAATTAAACTCCTCAGTAGCTGCAACTCCTTGGGGATGCCTGGAGCAGGAGGATTGCTTGAGCTCCTGTGTTGGAAACTAGCCTGGGCAAGTAAAAAGAGAAAGAAAGAAATAACCAAAGTCCTAATGCTAATCTGTAGAGTGCCCCTTTACATAGGGTTCATAAAGGTTTCATTGTGTCTAACGACTCAGTGTAATGGCTGGAAACCTATTGGTGAGCATCTCGAAAGAATCTGTCCCTCATGGGATGGAACCTTCATGAGCACAGTATGTGTATACATATGTAATGAGATAGGGTCTCCCTGTGTAGCTCTGACTGACATGGAACTTGCTCTGTAGACCTGAACTCACAGAGCCATTTTTTTTCTCTCTGAGACAGGGTGTCCCTGTGTAGCTTTGGAGCCTATTCTGGAAGTAGCTTTTGTAGACCAGACTGGTCTTGAACTCACAGAGATCCACCTGCCTCTGCCTCCCAAGTGCTGGGATCAAAGGCTTGCACCACCATCACCTAGGAAGGAGGTGGGCTCAGACCCACTTTTTCATACCACCCCAGTGCTGGGAATAGAGGCGTGTACCACCATGCCTGACAAAAATTAATCTGCTTGTCTTCATTCTCTTAGAGGTAAAAGCTTCAGTGACACTGTAAGAGCAGATAAATACAAATGGATTCTATGGTGACATCAGACTTCGTCAGTGTCCTTATGGTTCTTGGTGTAGTGTAGGCATCTGCAAGGTTAAGGATGATCTGGCTTAGCGTGTGGACTGAAAACTTGCTGTTGCTTTCTTTAACTTTCAGGGGTGATGGGCAATTTTGTAGTCAGAAGGCAGCCATCTACTCAATGAATTTGACAGCAGACCCTCCTCACCGCGTCTTTAAACTCATTGACCAGATCAACCCATCCATCTTCTGCATTCATATTTCAAACTGTAAGTGTTTGAATCTGGTAAATTTGGTGAAGCCAAATTTTGGGAAAACGCCTCATTCAGTTCCATTTACAGCACCTGTTCTGTGTTTCGGCTGTGTGAGTAATTCAAGGCTGGAGGCTGATTTACAGGTAACTATAGATCCTGGGCACACAGCCTTCAAGTCACTGTGCTGTAGCTGCCTTTATCTTACATTTGACTTCAAAGAGTCTATGCCACATAGACATAGGAATCTAGGTTGTGTGTGTGCGTGTGCACACATGTGCATGTGTGTGCGTGCACGTTTGCTTCCTCTTGGAGTAATAGTTGAAAATCAGTTTCATCTTTAAGTGTTACCTGTGGTTTCCATTTCCTTTTTCTTTTTTATTTTTACTACGAGTATTTGCATGCATGCAGGATCTTTATTTTTACCTGAGCAGTCAGCCTAGGCAGTGTGTTGCTTCTGAGTGTGTGCTGTTCTCAGGGTAACAAAGAGCAGAGGCACACTCATCATCTCATTCCAAAGTCTTTCCATATTTGGGATCTGTTCCCTCATGACTAAAGACATGGGGGAATGTGCTGTGAGTTATCCTAAGGGTCAACTGACAATGACTAGGCCATAGCAGTAGTCCAGTGCACATGGAGCCTGCCTCTTCCTCTCCCTTCATGCCCAGTGCAGGAGGTGGCTACCAAGAGATGAATGAGCCTTATCTTCCCACAGCCACCCAGCGAGTGTCCCCTGGAAGGGGGAAGAGGCAGGTGCTGGAGAAAGTGACCAGCTCTGTCCCTTGGTTTCTGCTGTGTTGTTTCCTTTGAAGCAATTGCTATTCACCATATAGACCAGGGTTACTTTGAACTCATGATGACTAGGGATCCTGTTTACTTAACAAGCCTTGAGAAATCCCAGGAGAGTCAAATATACAAGAAAATCTTTTTTTTCCTTTTCTTTTGAGACAGGGTTTCTTTATGTAACCTAACTGTCCTGGAACTTACTCTATAGACCCATCAGCCTCTTGCCTGTGCCAGGATTAAAGGCAGGTGCCACTACCACCTGACAAGAAAACATTTTAAATTACATTTGTGTATGTGCATGTATGCATAGCGTCTTTTCTAGAGTCAGTTTTCTCTTTTCACTATGTGTATCCAAGGATTAAACTCAGGTGTCAGGCCTGGTGGCAAGTGCCTTTATCTGCTGAACCATCTAGATAATCTAGATAGCCTAAAAAACTTTTTCTTATGTCAGTCATTTTGTTGGTTTGTTTGTTTTGTTTGTTTGTTTGTTTGTTTTGTTTTGAGACAGGATTTCTCCATGTATCCCTGGCTGTCCTGGAACTCTGTAGACCAGGCTGGCCTCAAATGAGATCTGCCTGCCTCTGCTTCCCAAGTGCTAGGAATAAAGGTGTACACCACCACTATGCAACTGATAACTTCAGTTTTGTTGCTACTAAGAATGGATTTCCAAAGTTGGGATGTCACATACTCCATACATTTCTGCTGATTTTCAATGCTTTGTCTAAAAACAGACAAGCCTGCACTGTCCTTCGCTAATCCAGAAGTGCCCAATGCAGACAATTTCGACAGACTGGTGCAAGCATCGGGTGGTTTTATGTTGAGTGCCGAATCAGATGTTCCTTCCACAGCCTCATCAGATACCCCACAGCCCGCTAAATATGAGGTAAGCCGAAAACTTGATGGCAGTCTCTCATATACCCTGAAACACTCTATCCTTATAAGCTAATTTCAGTATCAACATAGAAACCCAAACTGCCAGTCCTTGGGACATAGGTGACACCACTGAGAGCCATTGCTGCTCCTCTCAGTCAAAGACCATGGGAATTCAAGTGAGCGTTCAAATTCTGAATCCAGGATTTGAGGTCACTTCTGCAGTTGAATTTGTTTGGTTTGGATTGGTTTTTTTGGTTTTTCCAAATGGTGTTTCTCTGTGTAGCCCTGGCTGTCCTGGAACTCACTCTTTAGATCAGGCTGGCCTCGAAATCCCAGAGATCTGTGTCTCTGCCTCCTGAGTGCTGGGATTAAAGGCTTGTGCCACCAACCACCAAGCTCTGCAGTTGAATTTATTTCTGCAAAGTTCTCTGTTCTTTTCAGCCCAAGAGAGTGTAGTAAAATGATTGAAGCCCATCTCTGGGCCCTCAGAGTGGACTGCCTGGATGCCAGGTCCTTGTTTCAGAATTCTATTTTGTTTTACAGATACCAGGAAGTTGTGTGCTGTTTTATATATCTCTTCATTAGCAAACTAGTAAAATATGATCCGTTAACCCTGAATGTACTTTTAAAAGCTGGGTGTGCTGGCACCCACCTATAGTCTCAGCAGTTGGGGAAGTGGAGGAAGAAGGATCAGAAGTTCACATTTAAAGTAGCCTGAGCTACATGAAACGCTGCCTCAAAAACAAAACAAGAGGGGGTTGAGATAACTGAGGAATTAAGTACTTGAGCCAGAAGCACGAAGAAGGGTGTTCGGATCTCCACTGACCTTGTAAATGCTGATGGGGGAGTAGTGGCCTATCTGTCATTTCAGCATCAGAAGGTGGACATGGGCTCCCCAGGAGCAAACTACTACAGACTGTGCTCCAGGCCGAGATGTCAATCCCACCTGTCCCCCCACCAAAGAGAAATTCACATTGCAAACCATTGTGAAAAGGTTGACCCATGTTTATTCATCGTGGTTTGTAAGTGTATCTACAGATTCGTATATAATTGTAGAACGGTGGTTCATGGCCACATTGTTCTAGAAAACTTCTTTTCTGTGCTAACCTTTGTGTCACATGATAACCATGGCTCAATGGAGGCTGGTTACTGTTCTTTGGGCATTCCCTGCCTGCATGCCAGGTACTATGGAGGGCTTTTCCAGCGTTGCCCAGTACAGCCTGGGAAGGACAGACACACTGCTGTCCCATTCCACTGACCAGAGAGAAACGGGTGCAAGAAAAGAGCTTGTGGACCAGTGTCAGGGCATCTTGACAAGCCTGCTTTCTGTGTCTCACCATTCCAGTCTTGGCAGCACTGGGGATGGGACCTGTGCTGCTCGTGCATTCTCCAACACCCCAGCCCCGGCCCTTCTATACATTTTTCCTTTGTCTTCTTTGCATCTCACTGTATATTCAGCTGGCCTTGAAATGATAACCTTCCAATCTCTGCCTCCTGAGTGGAAGATGGCACCAGCCACTATCTATTCTTTTAAATTAAAAACATTAATTATGTGTTCATATTTGTTTATTTTGAGACAGGTTTCACTATGTAGCCTTAACTCTTCTGGATCTTGCTTTGTAGACCAGGCTGGTTGCAACCTCATAGAGATCTGCCTGCCTCTGCCTTTGAGTGCTGGGATCAAAGGTGTGCACCATCATGCTGGAATACTGGAATAGTTATGTTTGTGTGTGGGGTATATGCATGTGAGTGTAGTGCCTGTGGAGGCCAGCAGAGGCTGTTGGATCCAGTTGAGCTGAAGTTACAGGTGATTGTGAGCTGCCTCATGTTTCAGTCTTGGAGGAAACTACTTTTTTGTTATTGTTGCTGGTTTTGTTTTTTATTTTTTTGGAGACAGGGTTTCTCTGTGTAGTTTTGGAGCCTGTCCTAGAACTTGCTCTGTAGACCAGACTGGCCTTGAACTCAGAGAGATCTGTCTGTCTCTGCCTCCTCAGTGCTGGGATTTAAGGCATGTGCTCCTCCCCCGCCCCATCTCCAGCTTGGATGAAACTGTTCCAACACAACAGTTTTGGCTGTGTAGCCCTGGTTGGCCTCAAACACATAAGGATCCATTTGCTTCTGTCTCTTGAATGCTAGGATTGAAGGTGTGTACTACTACACAGAGCTTCAAATTTCTTTTATAAAGGTGTGTGTTTAAACCTTTTTAAAAAGGTTTAAAAAGATGTGGTTGACAGCTGAGATTGAGCCCTGTGTGACAGCACTGTGCTCAGCATTGTGTCCCCAAACCCATAGCTCTGTGGGCACTGCCATGTGTCCCATACATGCTGAAGGAGCACCTTGTCTCACTGTGGGTTCTGTGTTTGCAGTATGGAGTCCCTCTGCAGACTGCAGGCACACCTTCAGGGTCATTTCTTCGACTCCCTTCGCCTCTCACATCATCTCTTTGCACAGATGAGAACCCTGCAGGTAAGAGAGCGCCCTTGCCCTTCCTGTTAGTCACATAAGCTTGCCAGTTATCAGGCTTCATAACATGAAGACTCTTCAGGAGACAGGCCTCAGCCAGCTGTGAGCAGCTGTAATGAGCGACTAGTTAACAAGTTCTGCAGAGAAGGAGCTTCCCTGCACATAGTAGGCCAGTGTCAGTTAAAACCAACTGAAGCCTGGGATGGTGGGCATGCCTCACACCCTAGCTCTTAGGAGATGGAGGGAGGGAAGACCATCAGTTTGAGGCCAGCCTGAGCTACATAGTGGGACTTTTCAGAGTGACAAAGCTCAGAGAGTTTGAAACCATGGGGAATAGATAGATACTCTCCTGCAGTAGCTGGTAGAACAGCTGGTCCCACCCTGCTGAGGGCGGTATAACATATGGATCAAAATTACTGAAGCTCCTGCAGGAAGGCTTGGCCCGCATGCAAAAGCCCCATGCAGATTTGACAGTGACAGCCAAGGCAGAGACAACTGCAGTGGCCATTAGCAGGGAACTGGGGAGTAATTACGCTACATCCACAAGAGAACACTAATTATCCCTTCACGGCTGCTGGAAAGTCTTCAGGATGCATTCATTGCTCATGGAAAAAATGCACAGTGTAGTGTATTGTGCACACATCTGTGTCCAAAAGGGGAAAGTGATTGTTAAAGAAAAAAAAGCTACCTTTTACGTATGTGTTTTATTTGATTTGCATAGCGTTTCCGAAAGCTTCAGCAGGCAGTCATGCTGCTCCCTCAGGGACAGGGACCTGGGTAGGGGAAGAATTGGAGGGAAACACTGTGCAGTATCTTTTGTGCCTTTTAAATTTAGATTCTGTGTGTGTATTTCCTAGTTGAAACCCAGTTTTTAAGCCCCATTTTAACATGCTGCATTTGTGTTGTAATTATTTTGCCTTTTATTTTTTTTTTAAAGATTTATTTCTTTATTCTGCATACATGTATCTCTGCAGGCCAGAAGAGGGTACCAGATCTCATTACAGATGGTTGTGAGCCACCATGTGGTTGCTGGGAATTGAACTCAGGACCTCTGGAAGGGCAGTCAGTGCTCTTTACCTCTGAGCCATCTCTCCAGCCCCTATTTTGCCTTTTATACATGACTGTTGTAGTTGCCATTCACTAGCTGGACATGTTCTGTATTCCCCACACCTGCCCCTGGATGTTTCCTTTTGCAGCATTCCTGGTGAGCCAGGCCTTCAAATGCAGCCGAAAGGTAGACATAGAAGCGTGTGAAAGGATGGAAGCCCTCAGCATGGCTCACTACAGCAGCCCTGCCGTTCTGAGGGTAAGTCGTCTGGACACACAGCTGAGTTCTGTTCTTGGCACCCCCTACGTATGTAGAGTGGTATCAGCACGTGCCTGACCTGGGCCAGGGGTTGTGTTCTCTAGCACTGTGGCATCAGTGGCTGCTGAAAGTGATCTTCCTGTAGTTTGTGTGCTTCACTTTCCTGTTTATATTCAGTTTCCAAATTTCCTTCGTTCATCTGGATAGCAGCTGACCAAGGCCAGGTCTTCGATGACTGCTAACAACTTTAGAAGTTATCTGATGTTTTAATGTCTGTGATGTTAACAGTCTTAACCGCACCGTAAACAGTGGGCTCTCAGGAACAGCGGGGCCTTGGGGCAGTAGGAATAGCGACACCGAAGCAGGCAGGCCTCTGGAATGGTGCTTCTGATAGGGAAGATGAGGAAATGCAGTGACTGGCCCATAGCGGAGAGCACGCGGAGGGCCAGTCCTGAGTGGGGACTGCTGTCGTCTTAGTCATGTCTCTAGAAGATGAAAGTGGCCGTTAGTTGAAGCCTGAAAAGTCTGTAGAAATGCGTCTGTTCTTGTGCCTAACTAAGTTTACTGTGGTTTATTTCTTTCTAGGTACCTAATTCAACAGCACAGGTAAAAGCATTTCTCTCTCTCTGGGGGTGGGGATAGCAGGAGTGTGTACATGTGTGTAGTCTCTCTCTGGGGGTGGGGATAGCAGGAGTGTGTACATGTGTGTAGATGTTGTTGGTCAGGGGTCAACCCATGGGTATTACATTCCACTTTTTTTTTTTAAAGAAAGACTTATTTTGGGGGCTGGAGAAATGGTGCAGAGGTTAAGAACATTGACTGTTCTTCCAGAGGACCTGAGTTCAATTCCTAGCACCCACGTGGTGGCTCACAACCATCTATGATAGGATCTGATGCCCTCTCCTGGCCTGCAGGTGTACATGGAAAGCACTCATACATAAAATATAAATTAAAGAAAAAAGATTTATTTTTACTCAGGCATAGAAGCAAATGGTTTTAATCCCAGTAATTGGAAGACAGAGGCAGGCAGATCTTTGTGAAGCCAAGGCCAGTGTGATTTACATAGAGAGTTCCAGGCCAGCCAGGGTAACACTGTAAGATCCTGTTCTCAAACAAAACAAAACAAAAGATGTTCTAGGCCTTTCTGTGACATCCCTCCAGCCTCTAGAAAGTGCTTTGAACCTATTGTTCCATGCTGACCCAGTCCACATGGTGTCTGTAAGTCACAGCCCAGGATTCCCCACTTGACTCAAGCTGTTGGGGCAGCTTGGTAGGCTGAAAGTTGTGGAGATTGTCTTTTTTTTTTTTTTTTTTCTGTCACTCATGTCCCCACACTGTGTCCCCATAGGAGCAAGTGATTTTGACCTGGAGGGACAGTTGTAGGTTGCCTTGGTCATGGGAGTGGGTGTGTAAAGACTGCACCTTTGTTTCTAAAGTGAGGACTCCGACACTTGCTAGTTTGTTATAAACAGCTTCACATGCATTGGAGACAGTTTTGGGTACCTTCCCAGACAGCGGCTTCCAAGAATTAAAGTGGAGAATTCTGTCAGAGGCAGCGTGGCTGTCTTCAGGGGATTGCTTGTTGCTTTGTCACTCTTCTGGTGTTGGTTGAAATGAAATGTCCCTTAAAAAGTTTGTCTGGCTCCGTGTTTCCTCAGACCTGCTGTCTACCGAGCCAGCCACGGTGTGAGGTGCCTTGTAACGGCTAGATGCATCTCCTGAGGCAAGAGGTTGCTAAAGCTGAGGGTTCTGACTGATTCTGTGGCATTAGGTGTCATCACAGGGTTGTGCCAGCATCTAACCCCGGGATGTTTCAACACCCCTAAGGATCCCCATATCCCTTAAGCATCACTCCTCAGTTTTCTCTGTTCTACTCCAGTCTGTGATGACCGCTTTGGTTTCTGTGGATTTGCCTGTGCGGACATTTCATGTTTAGTGGAATCTGCAGTATATGTGACCTTTGGTGTCTGGGTTCTTTCACTTAATGTTTTCAAGACTCACTCGTGCTGTAGCATGTTTTGGGTGTTGATTTTTATGGGTGAGTGGCGTTCTTTGTGCAGATGGACTCTTGAGCTGTTTCCGTCTCCGTGATGAATGGGCATCTTAGAACCTGCTTTCCAGCTTTTCTCTGACTGTGTATGCATGTATATATGTATGTGTGTTTACGGGGAAATACATGCAGCATGCACAGTGCATGGCAGTGTGCATGTCCTGTACTTTGCATTATTGTTACTAAAGGTTCATTTTACACTTTGGTTGCTGTAACAGAGTAACTGTGCTATGTGTAGCCTGTAATAGCCTCATAACCAAGGTTATCTTCCCTCCCAGGTCTCCATCAAGGTCCAGTCTGTCATGTATCGGTCTCTCAATCACACACTCACCCGGTTAGAAGGCCATGGCATATTGCAGCCGTCTCTGGTCAGCATTGGGCAAGATAGACTCTGCAGCAACGCTGTTCTCGAGGTGGGTGACCAGTGTGCCCAGACAGTCCTGCTCTGACTGCCTGACTCCCACCCGTTGGCCTACTGGGGTGCTGCATACCCTCCAGGGAGAGCTCCCATATGTCCTGGGATGGTGCTGGTCTTGGTCTGGTCTGCAGTTGCTTCTGCTGTCTTATCAGAGGACACAGCTTTTCATGTCTCCATGAATCGAACACCTTGCAAGAATACCTCAAAATCTTCTTGTGCTAGGGACATGGCTCAGTGGAGTAAGAATGTTTGTTCCACAAGCATAAGGACCTGAGTTTGAATCCCTAGTACCTATGTTAAAAGCCAATCATGGCTAAGACACCTGGCTGTGACCCCAGTGTTGGGGGACAGACAGGCGGATCCCAAGAGAACACTGGCCAGCCAGCCTAGCTGGAATAGAGAGACTATGTGTCAAGGCAGTAAGGCAGAGAAAGACATCCAGTGTCGTGCTCTAGCCTCTACATGTACATGCATGGATACACACATGCACACATGCACACACACACACGCACACACACCTCACATATGTGTACCACACACATAATTTATTATCACCACCATTTGATTGGACTCACTTCTGCAGAAATAGGCTGTTTGAATTGTGCTTGAGTCAGCTGCTCTGAAAGATCAAACAGTTGGGCACAGAGAGACTGAGGCGTCTCTGTCCACTGGGATGCTGAGGGAACATCACTGATGAGCCTGGACAGCACAGTTGGGGGTTGCAGCTTTTCTGCAGCTGCTTCATGAGAGGTGAGGGAACATGTCTGCTGACCCGTGGTGGGCCAAGGTGGATGAGCCTCATTCTGTCCCAGGTGAAGTACAGCCTGCTGTACACAGCCACAGGCCAGGTAGAAGAAGCCAGCCTCTCCCTTGTCCTGGGGACATTCAGCAGCACAGTGACTCTCCTGCAGCAGAAGTTCGAGATTCACTTTATTCAGGTAAGTCTGAGTGTTCTGTTCATTATTTGGCTGCCAAGTTGAAGGAAAGCCTGACCCAGCTCCCAGCCTGCTCTTGCAGTGGTGTGCGGGGTTTGCCTGGAAGCTGGGTGCTGTCCTCCCACCCAGGATCCATTTATACTTCAGAACAGGGGAGCTATTCTTCCAGATGTTATCATCTGGAGCACTGTTGCCCCTGCTGTTGCCCGAGTAACATTGCACAGGACATCCCCTTGTCTTTCAGCACGGCACCAAGCCTGTTCCTCGCAGTGGCAACCCTGGTTACAGGGTAGGACTCCCGCTGGCCGCTGGCTTTCAGCCTCGGAAGGGGTATCCTTTTTCGGGTCTGTGGAGAAAGTCACTTTCCCTGTCTGCATGGATGGGCTGTGCTTCCATTTGTTGCCAAGGATGCTGTGGGTGGGCAGCCTGTGGGAGGGAGGCACAGGACTGGCCAAAGCTTCTCTGAGCCAGTGAAATGTGGTGGGCTGGGTAGAAGTAGACACTGGTACTTTGGGGGGAAATGTCAGTGTAAACTGGGTGGTGGTGGCGCACGCCTTTAATCCCAGCACTCAGGAGGCAGAGGCAGGCAGGACTCTGAGTTCAAGGCCAGCCTGGTCTACAAAGTGAGTTAGTTCCAGCACAGTCAGGATTACACAGAGAAACCCTGTCTTGAAAAACAAAACAAAACAAAACAAACAAAACTCAAGGACTCGTGGAGGCACAATGGTTGGAATCATTCATTGGTTCACTTTTGTTTTTTGTTTTGAGACAGGATCTCTCTATGTCCTGAAGCTTTCTGTGTAGACCAGGCTGGCCTCGATCTGCTTTGGGACTTGAGCGTACTAGGAGAGCATCCTGCCACTGAGCTGCACCTCAGCCCTTTTCTTACTCTTTATTTTGAAACAAGATTTTGGCAAGTTGTTCTGAGCTCACTCTAGTTCAGGAACCCTCAAATGGGCGATCCTCCTTAGCCTGTTTAGTGCCTTCATTACAGGCCTGGCCACCACACCTGGCTGGAACTAATTCTGAAGGTAAGCCAGGCAAAGGGAAGATTTACTGGCATCTTTTTCTCCTTCGTGGGAACAACCGTGAGGCCCAGAGAAGGGAATTGCACCTTGCTCATGTCTTGTGTCGTGTAGTGATGCCATTTTCTTCCTGGACGCTCTGTCTGCTCTTGAACTGTTACCTGTGCCTTAACAGCCTGTGAATGTCTGGGATTATTCAGACAACAAACAGACAAGGCCAGCTTACTATTCTTCGTAGCACAGGCGAGCAGGACTGCCTTGCCAGCGAGGGGCTCCGGGACCCGGTGTTGTTTGGCTACAATGTTCAGTCTGGCTGTCAACTCAGGTGAGAGTGGCTGAGCAAGAAAGCACCCTCCTGTCCCCTGTTTTAACTGTCATGAGCCAAACTGCTGTAGCCTCTCCGTTCCAGACACGGCAGATGACTGATCACAGAGCTGTGTGCGTCTCGTGGTTAGGGTTAAATAGCTTTTGAGTTCTGAGTGAAAGTATTTCCCTTGAAAGTCCTTCCTATTTCTGGGTTTTTACAGCATAAGAGAACCACTGAGAGAAAATTGAATGAGATGTGGGAGATGAGGTCTCCCTACATAGCTCAGGCTAGACTCAAACTCCCAATCCTCCTGCCGCAGCCTCCTGAGTGCTGCAATGGCATTTCTGGGGCTTTGGTTCTGGTTCTACGTAGTTGGTGCTGAACTCCCACTCTGTACAAACATGTGTCTGTGTCCCCTTCTTTCCCCTCTCCACCCACACCCTTCCCACATCCTTGGAGTGACTCTGTCATTAGTGTGATTGCTAGCTCTGGTCTCAGACCAGCATTTCTTCCTGAGGGTTCCACTGAACACTTTCCCACAGGGTAAACCCTGCTTCCCTCCTGTGGAATGTGCATTTTCTAGCACCCTTCAGGAGGACAGGCTATGGGAAAGCCACCGTGTTGCCTGGCTTCTGGCCATGGCCCGTCGTATGTAGAGAGAGATGGTGGAGCAGGCTGGGAAACGGTTTGGGGTCATCCCCATGACCAGGGTGCCCCTAACGCAGGAGCTCCTTAGGGATTCAGTGATCACTTTTTTGGAGAGGAAGAAAGGACGGAAGTGTCCTGGAATCTGGCTTTTCCCACAGGTTGTGGGTGCCTCTCTGAGTTGGCCTCTCTTTTCTTTCCAAAGACTGGCAGGCACCATCCCCTGTGGGCTCCTGGCACAGAAGATTCAGGGCCTGCTGAGAGGCCAGGCCTTCCCTGACTATGTGGCCGCGTTTGGGAACTCCCAGGCCCAGGATGTGCAGGACTGGGTGCCTGTGCGCTATGTCACCCATTCCTCCAACATGAAGGTAAAGGGTGACAGGCTGCGGGCCACCTGCTAGCGTGTCTTCCTCTGCTGGGTGGGCCGGGGAGGGAGTGGGGTGGCTGCAGCTAAGCCAGGCTTTCCAGCTCTGCCCCTTCTTCACAATGCCTTTGCCGGCACTTTTCAAGCCTCCGTTTGCTTCCCTATGACATAGAAACTGAAAGGACCAGAGTGGGCACAAGATGCCCCAAGACCAGGTTCTCAGCACAGAGGTGATTTATTTGCCCCAGAGGGACAGAGGGCAGGGAGTAAGAGACAACGACAGGAGGTGGAGGGAGAAGGGAAAAGGGACAAAGGAGGAGGGAAGGGATGTTTGCTGTGGAGAGACAAAGACTTTGTACAGAGAGGAAGCAGGCATGGCTCATGGCAGTCTATAAAGGGAAGAAGGGAACCCCGTTGTTCGGGTGAGTTGGTTTGTTTTAATTGGGCATGTTAGTTAGGGCGGTCCGAAGGGCTTCTGCTTCTGCTCTTCCTTCCATACGTGGATAACTGAAACCCTGGTGGCCAGCCTCAGGAGGAGGAAGTGGCCAAATAAGGGAACAGACATTGGTGGCCAGCTTCAGGGATGTGATCTGTTTTTAGCAAGGCAGAGGGAATGGGGGAAAGGGTAAGGCCTGCCAGAGCCATGTTTGCCATGCTTGGGCTGGCTAAAGCCCTTCAGAAAGCACATCACTGGCCTCATTGGGCTGTTCAGAGGGTTAAGTTTGTTTGTCAGGACGCAGTGGCCACGCCATAAACCAGGAGCTCTACTGACCACCATGGTCACTGTGGTTGAAAGATGTGACATCCAAACCAGAAACTTTCTTAGTGCCAACATGTCACTACCAATGGTTGGTGGCTATGGTCAAAACTTGGGCCCACTGAAATACCATTAACTTTAGGCTGACAGAGTGAGGTGGCCATGAACAATGGATTTTCTGTCTAGCCTCATGAATTTATCAGTCATCATGCCTATGCCAGTATCCCAAAACCCAGGATGGTCAGCCTGGACAGCAGTGGTGCAATACAGCCATCCTTGGGCATTTGGTGACATGAGGAGGGACATGGGACGTGGCCTCCTGTCTTTACCACTTCCATTCCATGCCCTCTGGCTATAATGGCAACCACCCACACCTGAGTTCTTTCAGTCCCAAAGTTCCCCAAAGAGTTTAATGGAAGCTGACATCCTACAAATAGCTTCCCGGTCACACGTGACTCCTCCACCCACCTCCTTCTTTTGTCTTAGCAGCAAAGTGTGGGCTGTCCCCAGTGGAGGTGTGCACTCCCTTCTCCCTTAATTGCCCAGCTATTTCTTGTCACAGCTGCTTCAGGCCTCTTATTATCTGCCTTGTATATTTATAAGGGGTGGCACAGTAGGGACAAGAACCTCACCAGATCCCCACTCTGAAGATTGCTTAACCCACATGCCCGCTACCAGTGAACCTGGGGTATGGCTTTTAGCTTTCTGGCACTGGGTAAAGACACCAGTCATCAGTGCCAGGGGAAGCAGGCCCGGGGTATCTGCTCTTCACACCCACCGCACCTGCAACAGGATATTGGCAAGCTGGTTCCGTGAAGGTTTCTAAAGGCTCTTGGGACCTAAGGAATCCATTACTGCGTTTGTCAGTCTCCAGTTTAGCTTAGTGGTCTGCTAGGTTTTTATGCAAGGATATAATCTAGAGAAAATACATGTGGAGAGTCAAACATACAGAAGTGCCATCGCTTAGTTGGTTCCCCATCTACCCACTGTACAGCTTCTGCAGTGCCAGTTATTGACAAAAGTATAGTCTGGAGGGCCCAGTGCCCAACTAACTTGGGACTGTCCAAGCTCAGGTCCTGGGACAGAGTCAAGATCCAGCCTTAGTTTGGGTAACCCCATGCTGGCCCCCTCAGTGCCAACAGATGAAGCACTGTTACTTTTGTTTGTTTGAGACAGGGTCTCTCTATACAGCCCTGGCTGTCCTAGAATTCAAATCTGTAGACCAGGCTGGCCTCAGATTCACAGATATCCTCCTGCCTCTGCCTCCCGAGTGCTGGTAGTGAGGTTGTGCACCACCATGCCCAGCTGTCTTTTTTTAAGATTGAAAAAGAAATTCTGTGTATGAGTGTTTGTAAGTATGGGTGCCTAGGGCCTGCAGAGGCTAGAAGAGGGTGTTGGGTCTCCTAGAACTGGAGTTACAGGTGGTTTGTGTGGGTGCCGAAGACTGAGCCCAGAGCAGCCAGTGTTCTTAACTTCTGAACCATCTCTCCAGCTCCAAGTTGTACTTTCATTGCTAGTTGATGAAATTAGATAAATGCATGCTTCTGTGTGCATTTTAACATGAGCTACAATCAAGGTCACCTTTTCTGTTAAATTTGGTCATAGTCTCTTCCCTGTTGGCCCCAAAGGTCCCACCACTGGGTAGCAGGGATGCACTACTCCACAGTGACTAGGCCTTGTTTGGGAATGGGAGGGGCTGGCCCAGTCCTCACTGGGTGGTGCAGTAGTGTAAGCAGAGGGCGCTGTAATCGCTTAGGCTCTGTAAACTTATTTGCACTTGAACTCTATAGTGTGTTGTCCACCCTTGTGTTCTGAACGTTGTGTAACTGGCAAACATTTTATAACTAAAGTGCTCGACTGCCGGTTTAGTTTGACTTGAGGTTGTGTAATATTCTGGTTTAATCTAGTTTTCTCTTGCAGGGCCCTTGCCAGCTCCCTGTGGCTTTGGGTATAGAAGTGAAGTGGACTAAGTATGGATCTCTGCTGAACCCCCAAGCCAGGATAGTAAACGTCACTGCCCAGCTCATCTCCATTCCAGAGGTAGGCCTGCTGGCAACAGTCTCCATGGGCTTGGGTGTGGCACCGAAAGAAATAAACCACAACAAAATAAAAGGGACAAGTGAAGACAGAAGGTGAGGTGACAGACAGCAAGTGTGACAGGAAAAGTTTATTACTTGGTATGAAAGATTATAATTTCTATTTGAATTTCAGTTTTTTTTAAAGACAGGGTCTCAGGCTGGATTTGAGCTGTTGATTCTCGTGTCACAGCCCCCAGGGTCAGGGACAGGAAGCTGGTGCTGCTGTGCCTGGTGGGATTTGGTATTTTGACCTAGGATCTTCTCATGTAACACAGGCTGGTCTCAAATTTGTGACTTGGTGTCAGCCTCCTGAGCATTAATGGGCAAGGGCTATGGGGCCTAACTGTAATTTTGAGTCTTAAAGCAATTTCATAATCATCCGTTAACTTGTACTTAGAGGGAAGAACTCATTGACAGGCAGTTCTTGTGAACACCGAGCCGTGGTTGCTGTGCTGGGTCAGCCTGGAGCATCGTGCACCTTGGCCGCACTGTGCCTCAGTGACCCCGCATACCTGCCAGCGACAGTGGCTAAGTGCAGAAGACGACGAGCATGCCGGTTCTGTCTTTGCATTACAGCCCCTCCCAGAGCCTGAGAGGACGATTATCATTTCCACTACAGTGACATTTGTGGATGTGTCAGCCCCTGCAGAGGCAGGCTTCCGAGCTCCACCCACCATCAATGCCAGGCTGCCCTTCAGCTTCTTCTTCCCATTTGTGTGATGCAGGTGGCCCCCTGCAGGAGTAAGTACCCCATCCTGAAGGTCCCTGTAGCAGTGGGCACCCAGGCGCAAGGCTCTGGATGACACTAACTCAGTTGCTGGTTCCCCTAAACCAGCGCTCTGTCCCTCTCCACTGCCTTTCCTCTCAGACACTTTAGTCTGCTAGGCTAGGGGCTCAGGTCAGATGGTCCCAGCACCCTGCACACACAGGTCACAGGCCTCTGGAGAGGCGGGAAGGAGGACCTAATGTGGCCCTGCACGGAGACGCTCCTCAGTGCCTTCTCCCTCCCTCATCATGAAGGGAGTCGCCTTCAAAATGCCATCAGCATTTGCGAAGTACAAACCAGCAAGAGGCTGTAGAAAGTATGCCCATGAGGCCATTGCACCCCAAGATGATGCTAATTACAGGGCAGCCTGCCCCCCACCCCACCCCAGTGAGCTAGCTCCATAACTGGTGGGCTAGTGTGGGCTGCCGCCCAGGAGAGACTGTGGTAGGCGGGCCCTGAGGGAGGAGGGCACTTATTTTATACATTAATTGTACAGTAATTGAGAGAGATGCTGGTGGGTACAGACGCAGTTTGAAGCTGATGGTACAGCTGGATTCTGCAGAGGAGGCTGGGTACCCGTAGGGGATGCAGCAGGAGAATCTGCAGACCAGCTAATAAAGAAAGGTTTTCTGGAACGGGCTGGTACAAGGTGCCAGCTTCTGTTCTTCTCAGGGTGTGCTTAGGGAAGGATGGGCCAGTCCCTGTACACAGAGGGAAGGATGGCATTAAGTTTTACAAGCCCAGCTTCCCTGTCTGTTTTCGAGCGACAGCAGAGGCCAGGTGAGAAAAGGTGGTTATGGTTCCTTTGCTGCAGAAGGAGGGTGTGGACAGGTGGCTCTGGGTCACACCGACAAGGCAGCCGAGCTGACAAAGATGTGTCCCCAGCATCCAGGGAGCGCAAGCCAAGGCAAAGAGGAGGACTGGACTTGGCGGCACAAAGTTGCTGTCTGGGCACTGCCCAGCTTCTCTAGGCCGGTGCTTCTGGGAGGCTAGTTCCCATCCCCAAGAAGTCCATTCTGTCTCAACAGCTTATTGAGTCTCTCAATTTCTTGTTCCTGTTGTAAAAAGCAGACACCAGAGATGAGCTTCTGAGTCACACTCACGCAGACCTGGGGCTACAGATGCTAAGAGCCAGTGTGTGGCGTCCTGGCTGCGGAGTGGAGGGCCCTGGGCAGTGATGCCAGGAACAAGACACCCAGAGGCGGCACTGGGCCTGGCTCAGTGCTTAAGACCAGGAAGGGGGCAACAGGCAGGGCTGTGGGCTGCAGGAGTGAGCTGGAGGGGACAGCAGGGCCCTGTCCTCCAAGTCTCACCTTCTCAGAGCAGCTGAATTCCAGATGCTGGATCTTGGTGGCCAGTTGAATGTTTATCTGCTTTAACCTTAAGATCTGCCGTTCTGAGCGTGTCTTCACTGAGATGATGATGCCTGGAAGGGAGGGTCGTGGTGACAGCTTGCTTTAATATTACGGTGTGGGGGGGGGGGTTGTGCACAGGGAGTATGCAGTTAGGCGCTATCTCCCTGTGGCCCCCCATGGGCACAGTCTCTGCAGGCCCGTGCGCTCCCATTCCCCGAGGACAAGCACTCCCAGCAGTAAAAGCTGCTTGTCTTCCCTGGTCAGAGTCCAGTGTGGAGACGAAAAGGCCAAAGGTTAAAACAGGGCCCCCTATGCTGGAGCATGGCCCTGGCAGGTTGGTACATGACCCGCTAACTTGGAATGCCTTACACAAGTCCATGACCCCATAGCCAGTCTCAAACAGCAGTGCTGCCCCCCCCCAGACACAAACCCAGACAAGGCTCATGGGTAGGATGAGGTTGCCTGCTGCAGCTGCAGTTGATGCTTCCAGCCCCCCTCAGCCAGGGCACCCCCTTAGAAGCCCACTCACTGTGCTGCACTGTGGTGTGCTTAATAAACCTTTTACCTCTGTCTTTTTTAATTCATTTAAACCCCGTGTGACACAAAGGAACGTTCCTCCTGTGCTTTTCTTTCCTCCCTGGAGCTAAGTTGGCTGAGCTGTGACCACAGCAGCCCACTCTACCTGCAGCTCTCCTCTCGATCCTCTGAGTACACCCCAGGTCCTCTGCAGTAGAACTGAGGGGCACAGACTGTGCCCCTGTGGTTTCTGGGAAGACTGACAGCTCCAACCACCAGCCAGCCATGACCCCACCCCCAGGAGTGCTGCTCCTCAGAACAGGCATCAGGGTAGAGCAGGGTTTCCCCAGGTGTCCAGAGCCAGAAGCCAGGGCATGGTAACAAGTGTCAGCAACAGAGTGGTCACTCTGGGAAACTGTGGGAGCTCCATGAGGGGACCCTGAGGTTGGGCATTCAGCACAGAGCTCGTAAGCCACCTGCTTCCCTTCTGGAGGATGCTCTCCTGTGCTGCCTGAGGCAAGAGTCCCATGCTTCCTTAACTACCTTCTGGTCACCACAAAAACATGGCCAGAGTGTTAGATGACTTTGAAGCAATCAAGATCTGCAGCCAGAGGTGGCAGCTCATTAAATATCACCATCTTCCTTTCTCCAGATTCCAAGCAGGCAGCAGCCATGACACAAACAGGGTATGAGATCCCAGGCATCTGGTGACTGTATTGCCACCTTGGTACTGACCACAGTGCTCCCTATCCCACCCCCATGCAGCCCTGGAGCAGAGGAGACACACCATTGATGATCCGGGCCACCCGCCAGAGCCGCAGCAGGATCAGCAGGCCAAGAGCTTCAAACTGGTGCTTTTTAAACAGGAGGATGAGGTCGAGGATGAATGACACCACCACCACAATGGCATCCAGGATTTCAAACTTATGGTAGAAGAACTCCAAGCGGAAGACAAAGATCTTAAAGAAAATCTCTATCATGAAGAAGACCAGGATGGCAAAGCTCATGTAGTGGAAAGCCTGAGGGACAGAGTGGGCGAGGAACACTGATTATCACAGGGAAGTCTCTGAACACCTGCCAACCCCGAACACACCTGCCTGGTTACCAGAGAGGCCTCAGCACTGAAGACAGCCGTCACCATCACAGACAAGGTTTCCAGAATTAAACAGTCCTGGCCAGGCCTGACTGTCAGCCCAGTACTTGGGAAGCTGAGGCAGGAAGGTCAGAGGCCGAGGCCTGGCTGGGCCACAGAGTGAGGCTGTGTCAACTGAAAAGTGAGAATGGCTGCAGCTGTGTGGTGAGTGCTTACACACCACACACAAGGCCAGGGACGCGCTCCGCAGTGCTGGGAACAAAGCAGCCCAGCCCGCCACCCCACTGACAGGAACACATCCTATGGCTGGGCACACTTGCCCAAGCCACATTGGTTGTCACTGCTGTACTATGGGCAGAACCCAAGTCTGTGTGGAGGGGACAATGTCAGTGTCCTATAAAAGGCACACGCCTTTAATCCCAGCACTGAAGAGGCAGAGGCAGGTGGGTCTCTGAGTTCAAGGCCAGCCAGGGCTGTTACACAGAGGAACCCTGTCTGTGAATGAATGAATGCATGCACCTGCTAGGCAGATGAGGGCCCCTCCTGTAACCGTCACTCCACTGCTGAGGACCGGGGCAATAAAGATTAGTGGCACCCAAGGGCTCCCAGTTTCTTACTAAGGAAGTCAGGAAGCAAGGGGCTATTCCAGCTCCTGTGGTCATGTCAAAGGGACATGCAGTCCTCTTACTGAGGCTCACAGTGACCACGCTGGGGACAAAAGTGTAAGAGTGATTGTAACACCACAGGAAAACATACGCCCAAGGCAAATGACAGAGCAGGATGGGCTCACCCACACACTGAGCATCAAGTGACTCAGTCAACACTGTCCCTGCCTGCAGTGACCCCCATCAGCAGCGCCCTGTATATGCCTTGCTGCATGTGGACCAGAGCTGTGTGCGTGCATGGCTCAGGAGGGGCTGCGGTGTACCTGCACCCGCGCGTGCCACCTGCACCCCGCGTGCCACCTGCACCCGCGCGTGCCACCTGCACCCCGCGCGTGCCACCTGCACCCCGCGCGTGCCTGTCCCACCCACCTGCAGCACGTGTGCTTGTGCCGTGTGCATACCTTGACTGCATAGTCCTTCTCATCTGGCTCGATGATCTTGAGATCCAGAAGGAGCTCAGCAAGCACCAGGAGGGCATCCAGGATCACCAGGCAGATGATGACAACCTGGGGGAGGACCAAGTAGATGTGAGAGCAGATGGGACCACTCTCCTTCTCAGGGGCTCCTGGGTGTTAAGAATGGGGCCCCAAGTTGGGCGGTGGTGATGCACGCCTTTAATCCCAGCACTCGGGAGACAGACAGACAGACAGACAGACAAGCAGATCTCTGTGAGTTTGAGGCCAGCCTGGTCTACAGAGTAAGTACCAGGTCAGCCAGGACTGTTTCATGGAGAAACTGTCTCAAAAAACAAAACTAAACAAGAATGGGACCCTGCCTTTTACCTGCTTGCCCCTGACCATGCAGGGTGGGCACATCACACTCAGAGCAACTTGCTTCACCCACTGGGTAAGAACACTCACCCCACTCCCTGAAGGCAGGCAAGCTTTGGGGGGGCCCTTCTGGAACTCAGAGTCCCAAGGCTGGGCTGAATAACTTACTGAGTATCTGCTCAGCAACAGCAAAACACAGAAATAGAAGAATGCAACTTAAAAACAAAGCCCCATTGCCTTTTAGGGGTGGCATTTGCTTGCTTTGAGAGATAGTACTGGAGAAACAGACCGGGTAACTAAGGGGCAGAGACTAGGAGAGACTGTGGGCCCCTAAGGGAGAGGAGTTCCCAAGCTCCCCGCAGGGCACTCAGGGATCCACTCTTTTGGTTTGTTTGTTTTTGAGACAGGGTTTCTCTGTGTTGCCTTGGCTGTCCTGGAGCTAGCTCTGTAGACCAGGCTACCTCTGCCCCCAAGAGCTGCAATTAAAGGCGTGTGCCACCACGGCCCAACTGGCATAGGCTGACTGGACTAAGCAGCCAACGAGCCCCAGGAGTCATCCCGTCTCTCTTCGATGCCACCATACTGGGTTCTTGTCTTCTGTTAAACTCTGGGTTCTGGGCCCAGAAGTACTTTCCTGGTCAGCAAGTACTTTCCTGACAGACCCATCTTCCCAGCCTGGATTTTATTTTATTATTTCTTGTTTATTTTAGAACCAGAGGGATTAGCAAAGTCCAGTGATCTAAAACCAAAGCACAACTGTACTGAGAACAGGCTCACCACACAGCCACCAAAAGGCATGAAGCATGGATCTGTGCTATTGTGTGGTGACTGAACATGATATGCCGAGTGCAGGCAGCTAGATCCTCTGGCCACATGTGATGTGATCCCCAGAGCACAGGTAAAATGTAGACGGAGGGGGTCAGTGACAAGGATATTCTGAACTCACGAGTGGTGAGCTATTCAGTGCTCTGTGCTCTACACACCACAGAAATAATCACTTAAAAGTGATTATCTTAGCCGGGCCGTGGTGGCACACGCCTTTAATCCCAGCACTCGGGAGGCAAAGGCATGTGGGTCTCTGTGAGTTTGAGGCCAGCCTGGTCTACTTGCAAGTTCCAGGACAGCTGTTATACAAAGAAACCCTGTCTCAAAAAACTAAACAAGAGGTTAATTTTACATCGTGTGACTGTCACCTGATGTTAGAAGTGAGACAATGATGGATCTTAATGCTTGCCTCCATTGAACTGATCTCCAAACCTCAGATCTGCTCCTCTCCCTGGTTGTTTTTTGTGGGAGGGAGTTACATCCCTTTGTTAACCCCTATCCTGCCCTGTGGGGTGCCCACTGTAGGGTTCCATCAGCCTGCCCTGGGAACAGCACTGGAGCCAAAACCTCTACTGGCTACACTCTGCCCTGGGGACAGGGCACTCATCATGTGATAAGTGGCAGCATGCTCTGTCACTATGTTCTTGCAGATCCTGCCAGCAGAGAGCAAGACTCCTGAACCCTAGTCCCCCTCCTCCCATCCCATCCGGCTTCCATCCAAGATCCTCAACCTATCTGATCGTGTCTCCCCCACAGGGCCCGTCCACAGCAGCACCTGCCTCATCCAATAACCTTGCTGCTTTATCCACAGGAACCTTGCACCCCTCCTCCACTCCCCAACACAGCGCTCACAGTCTCCTTTCATACCAGCCTTGAGACCAGCTCAGTCCCCTGCCTGAAACATGCCCTTCCACCCCTGGGGCCTACTATGCTTCAATGCCAGGTGACAGTCACCTGCAACCTCTTGACTCCCAGCCTGTCCAGAGCTCTTAGACCTCATCCTTGCCACCCAGGGGACATCTAGCCATGCCAAGCGGCATTTGTCATTCCTGCCACTCCACAGACCATCACATCCAGCTTGCTGCTGTCCACAGTAGGGAGACACCTATCCCCTCAGAGGACAAATGCCTTTATGAGAGTCATCTTTTTTCCAGCCTAAGAGTCAGATCCGGGACCGGCAGGCTGAGTCCCTTCTAGAGGCAGGGGCATCCAGAGGGGGTGGATCTGTGGCTCCCTTTACAGCTGGAAGGAAGCTGGCTCCCTCTGTTTGCTCTGAAATTGCAGGTTTGGATTTCAACCACAACAACATAATACCATGTTTCCTGCTACAGCCAGAGGGGCTGGCAGAACGCAAGGGATGCTGGGCTGTTGGCCTGCTTTAAATGGGAAAAGAGACCAATATAACCCCACCACCAGAACAGTCAGTGATGAGAGTGGAGAGCTGTGTCTCCTTGCTTTTAGAAGGGACTTGGGCTCTGATGCCCAGAGTGGCATCCCCCAAGTACCTCCCTGTGGTACTGGACCCACCAGGAGCTGTGACTGTGGCCACGTCCTTGGTCTTTCGCATTTTGCTGGAACAGCTATGCTTCTAGACACCAGCTTGCTACCTTGAGGTAGAGGCAGAAGCCTGCTCTTGCTCACAGGGCTGGAGAAATGGCTCAGCAGTTGAGAGTACTTAATGCTCTTGTAGAGGACCTGGGTTTGGTTCCTAGGACCCACATCAGGTGGCTCACAACCACCTGTAACTCTAGCTCCAGGGATCGGACACCCTGTAGCCTCTGAGGGCTACTGCATACAAAATGGTGTGCGCACACACATATATAAATAAAATAGTAAGTCTTTGAAAAATTGCCTTTCATAAAATTGGGATAGATAGCTCTCACAGAGCTCCGCAATGAAGTTCCTTACTCTACCCATGGCAGCATCTGGAGAGAGCTGGTGACAGTGAGAGCCAGGCACATGTGTGGAGTGTGTGTGTGTGTGTGTGTGTGTGTTTGCGTGCATGCATTCTTCCATGCACACACATGTGGAAGCCAGAGGTTCATGTTAGTGTCTTCAGTAACTCTCCACCTAATTCTCTCACGGAACCTGAGGCTCATCAACTAGCCAGTGAGCCCCAGGGAGCCACCTGTCCTCTCTGCCTCCCTGTGCCAGGAATCCTGGCATGTACTGCCACACCCAACTTTTTCCCTGGGTTCTGGGGAACCAAACTCAGGTCTCCATGCTTGCACAGCAAGCACTCTATCCACTTAGCCCTCTTCCCCAGCCCCACGTTTATGTCACCTCCCCATAAAGAAGGGTCTGAGGGCCCATGGTGATGAGCTTTTGAGGCAGGGAACCCACATGACCTTGTCTGGAAGCAGGCACTGTGGAATGGATGCTTCTCTCGTAACGCACTTGGAGCATACACACAGGCAAATTTTCACAATGTGAAAATAACTGGTATAGTGTAACCATTCACAGGCTGCCATAAAGTTCTGTGGCAGAGGGTACAGTCGCAAGGCCGTGCAGCCACCACCACTGTCTAGTTCCAGAGTATTTCCACCACCCCAAAAGGCAATTCCATCATTCTCAAGCAGCTACCCCCTCCATTCCTTCCTCCCTCCCACGGCCTCCCATCTGTCTGCCCGGCTGTGCACATCCTGGACGGTTCAGCGACCTGGCATCACATACGACTAGGACCTTCCCTGTCTGGCCTGTCACTCAAGTCATATTTTCAAAGTTGCAGCATGCGGTAAGTATCCACATGTCCCTCCTTTGTCATGCCCTCTGGAGAGACAGGCCATGCAGGGCCGTTAACCTTTCACCTTATTATCTCCCCTCCCCCACTGTCCACACAGGCCATGCCATGGAGAAGGGCCTGTGGTGATGTTTAGAAAACACCTGTGGGGTGCACGGGTGGCAGAGGGGGCCTCCCCTCCTACCTGAAACCTGTGTGAGCTGAAGAGTTTCCTCAGCCTGTTCCTGAAGTCCAGGGCCGGCCTGGGTGTGGGGGCAGCGCCAGCCTCAGCATCTGTGCCCACGGCACCGCCTTCCCCTTCAGCTGATGGGGGGGCCGGCTCCTCCTCATCCTCTTCATTCTCCCACTTCTTGTAGTTGACGTTCCACGTGTGGTAGTCGTCCCCAACCACTGTGAAGTGCTTCAGGAACCTGCTCATCCTCTTGGCAGGAGCCACCCTGGCTCTTCGAGTGACGCTGCCCTAGAGGGACAGGACAGAGCAAGCATGTAAGCGTCCCATAGCTGTGATGGGGAGGGGGGCCCACCCCAGGCCCCAGGGTGCTCAGAGCACCCTAGCAGTGTGGCCGGCAGGCAGTCAGCAACGGTACTGCAGCCCGGCCTCCACAGCAGGCCCACGTGTGAGTATCAGAAGAGCCGTGCACTCTCAGAGAGATTGGGAGCTGTCGAGGACAGTGGGGGAAGCCTCCAAAAGTAAAAGTCCAGTTTCACAGAGAACTCTCAGATGGCAGCCTACACTCTGCAGGCCGCCCTGGCCAGGCAGGTGGAAAGGGGAGTTCTTCCAGGGTTACCCCGCAGACACACACCTGTTATCCCAGCGTTTGAGAGGTAGGGCTAGGAGGGCGAGGAGGGTGTGGAGGGCGAGGAGGCAAGGGCAGCCAGAGCTACATAGTAAGACCCTATTTCAAACCCAGGAAAAGGGCTATTCCCACTGTATCCTCCCCCGTTTGTTTAATCCACCTCTAAGAGAACAATGTAGCAAGCCAATTAATAGTAGCCCATTCCTTTAATCCCAGCACTCAGGATGCAGAGGCAGGCCTATCTCTGTGAGTTCCAGGACAGCTAGAGCTACACAGAGAAACCCTGTCTCCAAAATCAAAGAGAAAAAACAATGTAGTAACCAGCCTTATTTGCATTGGACTTCCTGTGTAACTAACTTTTTTTTTTTCAAAGACAGAGTTTCTCTGTGTAATAGTCCTGGCTGTCAGGGAACTCACTCTGTAAGACCCCTTTTTTAAGCTTTTGTTAAATTTTTGAGTGGAAGTTCTTACTAGCCATGTTGGGCGCCATTTGTAACGAGTATGGTTTTTCCTCCCGCCGCCAGACTTGTCCCGCCGCTGCCGCGCCAGCCCCAATTAACACTCTGAGACTCTGTATTAGATATAGTTCTGTTGGCCAGGTACTTGTTTCTTATCGGCTAGCTCTGTCTTAAGTATTAACCCATTTCTGCTGATCTATGTATTTCTCTTACCGGGGAGCTGGCCGGCATACTGCTTTCTCCCGACTCTCCATCTTGGCTCCTCCTTCCTACTTTCCTCCTCATCTCCTAGTCCCTCCTATCTTCCTTTCCTATTGGCCAACAGTGCTTTATTCATTATGAGAAACAGATACAGAATGACATCTCCCATCACATAGCTGTCATCTTAAGTCATGTACTCTTCCTTGCCCCCATCCCAGAACAGTACATTTGTGTCATTTGCTGAAAACAGCGAATACAGAGGTTGAAAGCAACCTTGTGTAATGAATATCCATTTATGGATGTTGGTTGGTAAGCCATTGTTTGTATTACTGCAGTTGTCTGGGTCGTTGGGATTAGCTGAAGGCAGTCACGAGATCCTTGTACAATTTTGGGTAAGATCCCTGTAAAGTACCCCACCCCTCTCCCATGTGAGGCAGCTGATGCTGCTCAATAAAGACAGAGAGGCCCTTTGTGGGGGATAAACACAGTCACACAACAGACAGACAGGACACACAAAAGGCATAGTTACACAGGGTCACACTCAGGGACAGACAAATTCCCAAGGCAGCCTTCTACAGGCAGGCCAGGTTCCCACAGAGGACAAGATGCGGGAGCATGTAAGTGGGGAATTCGAATCTGGACTCATTCTTGGTTAAAGACTCGAAGGGGAAGTGCTTTTATTCCTTTCCTTCATGTGATACCAATGCATTGGTGACTCAGAGTTAATCACTAAAGCACATAATCCACGCAGGCACTGCTGAAGGTTCTGCCTTTAGACTCCGTTCCGAGCGGGACCCACTCCCCGCGTCTCTAGTCCCCAGATCACTCCTGTCTATCTCTGCGTGCACCTACTGCAGCAGCCACCTGCCACCGCCCCTTCTATGTAGAGCTGCGAAGACCTGCCTAACGCAGTGCAGCCATGGCATGCCTTCGCCTAGAGCCGGCCAGTGGTTCTCTGCCTCGCTGCGTCCCTCTTGCTGGTGTCCTTCCTGCCTTCATGCTCTTAGGGAGCTCACCTCTTCTGAGAGGCTCGGCTTGACCCCTGACCCCACTCCTTCCCCACCCTGGCATCTGTGTCTTTATTTCACCGTTGCTAGACTCAAAGGTGATTTAAAACCTATAAATTACATCTTTCGAGACTGTCGCTTAGAAAGCTGAAGGGGCTCATAGATAGCCACTGTAGACACCTACATGTGACTTTCTCCCTTGAGAATTCAGTGTTCGTGTCCTGAAATTTTCTCCTGTCTGTCTGTCTGTCTGTCTGTCTGAATACTTAATGAACTCACTCTCTTCGTTTTGCTCAGGCTCACCCTGAAATGTCTCCTACCACATGCTATCTGGCTTTGCCTGAGGGGAGGTACCTGCTTAGGACGGAGTGAGCCCTGGCTGCTGGTGACAGTGTCAGGCTGTCTCCCTGCCGCTGAGGACATGCTTGCCTGTTTGACCTCTCAGCTCTGGAACAAGTAAGACTTTTGCACAGCTGCAGCATGATCAGTGCTCTGCACATGGTACACTCTGCAACACTGTGTTTGTAGGTGACTGAGTGAACACAGACATGGGCCGGAGGGCTGAAGAGATGGCTCAGCAGTTAAGAGCACTTCCTGCTCTTCCCAAGGCCCTGAGTTTGATTCCCAGCACCCACGTCAGGCGGCTCACAACTGCCTGTAACTCCTGTCCCTGGTGGATCTGATGCTGGCACCTGCACTCACATGCAAACACATCATACAAACACACATGTTAAATAAAAATAATAAAAATAGAAATTTTAAATGTGGCCCAAACTATGAGGTGCATATGTGTGCGCACACATGTGTGCATACACACACAGAGACACATACATGCATGCATGCACATACACAGGGGCACACACATTTATGAGTCTGCACAGGCCAGAGGGGTATCAACTGTCCTGCTCTCTCAGTCTCTGCTTATTCCCTGGAGACAGGGTCTCTCACAAGCTAGAGTTAGGCTGGCAGCCAGCAGTTATTTTCCAGCCTCTGCCTCCACCAGCACTGGCATTATAGGCATACACACCCACACGCTGCTTCTAGATCGATGCTGGGGATTCAAACCCAAGTCCTCATGCTTGTTCCACTAAGCCATCTCCCCTATCCACAGCCAGATCTTTAGACATCTGTTCGGCATAGCAAGGGGTGCGACTCAGTGAGACCGTGTTTACCCAGGAGGCCTAAGACCCTGGGTTCCACACCTAGCATGCAAGGGGAAATAAAAGCTGGAGAAATGGCCAGGTGTGATGTGTACACCTTTAATCCCAATACTCAAGGAGGCAGGTGGATCTCCATGAGTTCTAGGCCAGCTGAGGCTGTGTCAAAGACAAATGAGATTAGAGAAATGGCTTAGTGGTCAAAAGCAAATGTTACTCTTGAAGAGGACCTGAGTTTGGTTTCTAGCACCCACATAGCAGCACAATCATCTGTAACTCCAGCTCCAGGGGATCTGTCGCCCTCTTATGGCCTCCATAGGTACTGCACTCACAAGCACATAACCTACACACAGACATACACATATACATATACATACATACACATATAATTTAAAAAAATTTTGGGGGTTGGAGAGATGGCTCAAGTATTAGAGGCATTTGGTGATCTTATAGAGGACTTGGGTTCAATTCTCATTACCCATATATTGGTTCACAACTGTCTATAACTCCAGTTCTGGGGGTTCTGATGACTTCTTTTAGCCCCTGCAGGTACCAGGTATGCACATAGTGCACAGACATACATACATACAAGCAAAATACTCAGACACATGAAACTCACAGAGACCCACCTGCCTCTGCTTCCAGAGTGCTGGGATTAAAAGCATGCACCACCACGTCTAGCTAATTTTTAAAAGATTTTAAATAAATAAGTACATTAAAAGCTTACTGTAGAGCCAGCAGGATGACTCAGCAGGTGAAGATATTCGCCACCAACCCTGAGTTCACTGTCTGGAAGCCACTGACCCTGAGTGCACTTTCTAGAATGCACATGGTGGAGAGAGCTCACTCTTGTCCTTTGGCCACCACAGGCACACTGCCACATGCAAACAAATAAGTACATGCCGTTCAAATGGTTTTTGAAACTCAGTATGAAAGAAGATACAGAATTGCAAGCAGGAGGGTGATACTTGAAGGATGGGATTCTGTCTCCTGGCCTTGATACAGTCACTGCTGCTGTCTCTCCCTCCTCTGTGGTCAGGACATCAAATAAAACACACTGTGCCCTGAGAAATGAGTAGAGCTCCACAGTTCCGGTTTCTGCCTGGAGGGCAGAACTGGAGGAACTTTCTAGATGAGGAGATGCATACAGGAGCCCAGGAAGACTCAGCTCCCTCCCTTGCTAAGGAATCTTGGGGTAAGGAGGATACGCAAAAATGCACTTTTGCTGGAGCCTACGTGCCACAGACAGATGGATGCTATGAGGTAAAAGGTAACTCAGGAAACAAAAAGAAACATCTCTCAGGGATGTGTGAGGGACTGAAGAGCTGCAGAGATGTTTTAAGTAGTCTGTTTCCAAAAGCCAGGACAAAATTCTTCATAACCCCAAGCCTTCAGCGGGAACTCAAGGAAAATGACAAACTCTACCCAACAGACTCATCCTAACAAGCCAAAAGATCAGCAGCAAGATGACTCAGCCAGTAAAGGCACTTGCCACTAAACCTGACGACCTGAGTTCAATCCTCAGGACCCACATGATAGAAGATGAGAACTGACACCCACAAGGTATCCTCTGGTCTTCATACGTGTGCTGTGGTACATGTGTGTCCCTTCATATACAAATCATATGAAAAAGAAAACAAAGTACATCTTTCCCTTAATAAAAAAAGATCATCTGATCCCCAGTTAAATGAATGACCATTGAACAAAACTTGGTACGTTCAGGAGAGAGAACAGCATGTTCTGAACAGTGTAGGCTCTGTGCTGTGCAGCAAATGACAGAAATGACTCAATGGAAAGATGCAGGAAAACATGGCCCCTACTAATTCAAACCTCAAAGTGG